TATTTCCGATTAGCAAGATTTTAATTATTTTATTGGGGTTCCTGTGGAGTTTGATAACACAGGATGCCCAAGATATCTACAAAACGTAACTAATGYCCTATCTTGTCAATGTACTTTTCAGCAATCATCATATAAAAGAAATGAAGATGAAAGTGAAGATGACACRGACTCAATAGAATCCAAAAAATCAAAATTTAGTTGTATTCTTTTATGATATTAGAAAATAGTTGCTGAATATAATTGATAATTATTGGGGTATGTGATTATTTATATTACAGAACCACAATGTCATATAAGTTAACATTTTAATCAATGAGACATTATGGTCTCAAAAAAATGCTTTGGCAATAAATATTATAAATTGTTATTTTCTGCATTCATTTTCTGACAGATAAAAGCAAACTTTTTGATACTATTTCAAGGATAATATTGTGTGTTTTGGAGGTTATTTTTTAATATGTAGGTTAAATATCTAGTTCAAGGTCTTTYATTGAAATTCAAGACCTGGGGATAGTGATATTCAATATTGTGCATGGACATAGTTAATAGAGAGGACCTCCTCTGTTGTGGATKATAATAGTAGTGTAGGAAAGCTACAATAACAATAGTATCATAAAGCTACCTTTTGTCATTGTTATGAGCAACATTCACAAGAATAGACATTGAAATATTTTAAACTACAATTTTTAGTGTGTACAAAGTATAGTATTAAATAAGTAGTTTTTTCATCATTACACGTGCAGGCAGGCAAAGCCTTGCAGAATAAAAAAAAAAGAAATATTCATGTAGCAAATAAATAATATATCCAATAGCAGTACAATTTATAAAACAATTGACAAATAAATTAAAAAAAACAGTTTCTTTGTATTCAGTTTTTTGCTTATCTAATATCCTTGCAGCCGTGTTTGTTTTTCAGGAGGTTGCGTGATGCGTTACCAATGCCAAACACGGCTTTGAGGAGATTTTTGTTTCTGGGCCTGTTAGTTTGCTCATTAAATTTTATTTATTTGTTTTTTTGTGAAACTAATAAAACCGGAAACGGACATCGAGTCAAATTTGTTTCCGGTTATTGCATTTTTCACGGAAAGATAAAAATGTTTATGATGAGGAAGGACACGCCTAAGATCGCAGAAATTCTGAGTATTTTACAATTTTTAAAACAAACACGTCAAGGGAAAAATATTTGCTTTGAAATATTGACTTCGATTCCGAGAATAACAAGACTCAACGTAGAATCAATTTTCACTTCCGGTCAGTTCAATTGAGAATGCGCAAATGACAGCCTCGTTTGTATGGTGATCTCTCGTATGTTGTTATAGGAAAGGACGTGTGCTTTCTTTACTTTTCGAATTTCGTTTCTCTTCTKTGCAGAAACTAGTCGTTTAACTTGTGAACGCAACCAAGATGTCATGATTTTTAAGGCATACGTTTATTGAGCTTCGCTGTTGTTGGGAAATTTTGAGGTAAGCTCCATGACAAATTGATCGGATCTCAAAACTTTTGTTACCTCACGAAATACAGAGATCCGGTCCTTATTTTCTGTAAGTACTTACAGTGTATGGTAAAGAACGCAAACTAGAAAGACGTTTTTAGTTTCATATATCGACACATTGTTTCTGTTTCCTTTGAGGTTTTAGTCAATACACGTGATTAAGACCCGTGCCGTATTCTATATAAGGGCATTGCGTCAATATTAGATGACTCACGAAATTTTATTTTTCAAAAATGCAAAAAGAATTTTAGGTTCAACATATTAATACCATTCATAAATTTCTCTAACCCTAGAGTTACCAATTTCTCAGAGAATCGCTTTGCAAATAATTAATTTATAATCTTSTAAGTTAGGTATTTTAATATCTAAAATGCATACTATGTCATACATAATTATAATAATTAACACAAAAATGTAATTAAAAGGAGCACAGCTTTTTAATTGCTTCTGAAGTGTGGCACATTGTTAGTGCTGGTGTACAATTCGTAGTTCATGTTGMCATCTCTATTTGTATACTCCTTATCAACTGACATCAATTTTTTTGTTTGTTGCTTTTGCTATCATTTTTATATGCCACCTGGGGTATTTTAGCCTATTGCCCGTTCCAAAATTCCGCCGACCGGTTAGCTCAGTAGGTAGAGCATCGGACTTTAGTGCGGGAGGTCACAGGTTCAAACCCCGGCCGGACCAACACTCAGGGTCTTAAAATAATTGAGGAGAAGTTGCTGCCTTTGTCTTTCTCCATCTGCAAATGGTAAGATCTTCTCGTCCTCTCGGATAACGACGTAAAATCGGAGGTCCCGTCTCTCTACACTTCACTCACTAACCTGTATTAGAGGGAGGTTAAAGAACCCACACCACTGTTCGCATAAGAGTAGGGAATGATTCCCGGTGTGTGTGGCTAGGCCTTACTACTAACCCATACTAATTACTAACCCCTCATGATTATAAGCCGCGTGGCTGCCAATTGCACCTTAAACAGCGGTCCGTGTGAAATGATCTATACATTTTGCATTTTAAAGGCTTGTAACTCTATAAATATTAATCCGAATACTCTCAAACTCAGCAACTATACTATTTTTAGTATGCTCTTTCTTGTCCTGGTATCTATTACTCCATTGCTTCAAACGGTATTGAGTTTGTGACTAGTCACCAGTCCCTTTTTGAATTTCGGAACAGACAATTTTCTGAGGGATGTAAAAACAAGCTCCTTGTAACAATGAACAGCTGATGCAAGTCRCCTTACTTGTCGGGATAATATAGGCAAAATTGTTCYTTTTTTMCATTTGCAGGACCATAAAGTTTTGCCATAAAGCACAAAATGTCATTAAGTAGAACCAAAGACTTTGATTTACAATACAAAGTAATTGTGATTGGTGAATCTGCAGTTGGCAAGTCTTCTCTCATTAGACGTTATGCTAATCCAGAGCAACCTTTTGAAAATAACATGGTTTCCACAGTGGGTAAGCACTTACTTTATGCCAAAAATGAGATTCAAGTCATTGTTTATAAGGTAGTTGTAGATATCTGAGGGTATAGCAGTTGTACAATGGTTGAATAGCACTTATTATATTTCCAGAGAATAAATCCATATCCAGCCGATAAAACCCAATGAAAATTTATGAAGTGGATTAACTTTTAACCAGAGTGTTGAATAATTTTATCCACCATTTGGCACATACAACTCAACACATCTCTTACATTTAGGGATAGACTTTGTAAATGTTGATACAAAAGTGGATGGGCTAACAGTGCGTTTACAAATATGGTAAGTTTATTTGACCAGGTGTCAGTCATATTATATATCACTAATAATAGTCTCTTTTGTGGGTTCCCTGTGCCTCTTGAAAGGTAACCATGTATAATTAGAATAAAAGACCTGCTACAGGCATAGACAATTATTTACAGTTTTCTATAATTGCAAACTCGCCTGTTGTCTAATGCTTCTATGTAAAGGTATGTTTACCCTTCAGAACACTGTTACCATCCTTTTCTATGAAAAAAGATGGTTTCAGAACATTAAAAGACTGTAGTTCACATACAAACAAATTCATTTGTTTAAAGGGATACAGCAGGCCAGGAAAGATTTAGAACATTAACAACAAATCAATTCAGAGGGACAAAGGTACAGTCTATTGACATTTGACTCTTAAATTGTAAACATTTTATAAGAAAGTTATCATTTGTCAAACATTCTAGCCTCCTTGGCAGCTCCTCCTGTAGTGTTGTCATCATCGTTAGTTATAATAAAGTATCTGATGTTAAAGTTTCCCATAGATTTTATGGCATTGCTTGATACTGAGGGGCACAGCTGACAATAAACGTCCAATTGACACAGTTAAATTGTTGTTTGTAACTTGACTGTTCAAAAACATTCAATACATGCATGGCCAGTAGTTCAATGGCAGCATACAAACTGCAAAGTTAACCATGAATTTATGATATATGTACATGTTATTGTTTGATAATTTATCACCCATCAAATTATCAACACTGCAATCATTTTGGATTGTTAGGTCTATAATATAAACAAATATGCTTATAATATTTAAGACATAATCATATGATCTTTCAGGGTGTTCTTCTGGTCTATGACATTACTAGTGCAAAGTCCTTTGACAACTTGCAGTTCTGGATAGAGAGTTTGAAAAAAGTAAGATTGTAGTGTATGTTTTTGATAATTTTAAAACAATTATTGCAGTTATTGATTCAATTACTATATTTTTTTCAGCAAAAGCTACAGCATGAAGAATTCTTGATTTTGGGAAACAAAAGTGATTTGATTGATGATCGAGAAGTTCCAAAAAGAAAAGGAGAAGAGGTAAAATAATGCATTATTCATAATTACAATTCACTTTTTCATGATTCATTTTTAAACAATTACACAGGCAGCCCACCCATTGTAACATATTACTAATTAGGCAAATATAGCATGTGAATGAAAGGCTTATATYTCACCAAAATTGCATTCCAGCTTGCAAGATATCATGGTGTCAGGTTTTTTGAAACAAGTGCCAAAAAAGGAACAMATGTCAAAGAGGTAGTATAGACAGTAGAACTCAATAAATTTGGTTACATTTKACATGAACATTTTGGTGAATATTAAATAATTGTTTTTATAACTTATATGTTTATATGACATCATCTTTTTGCTCTAATTTTTACTAGGTTTTTCATTGTCTGGCCACCCAGATGAAAGATGGAAATGATCCTTACGTGGTAAATATACACATAGAAAATAAATTATGTAATAAAGCCTTTTTCCAGCTCGATTCAAGCGACTTCTGTTTTAGCAGACAACAGACTCGCTTGCGTAGAGAACAAAAGAAAGCACGAAAAAATGTTGACATTACAATAGCTCTAGAGATTTGAATCTTCTCCGATTTGAAGTTTAGCCAGTGAGCAAGACGTTGAACCTTCTGGGAAAACAGGATTAGTGCTATTGTAATAACAACATTTTCTTGTGCTTTCTTTTGTTGTTGGTCAGGTCTCTGCACATGAGAGACCCTTGTCAACTATATCAGCGGTTGTTCACTTTGAACGGGTAAAAGGCGTATTCCAGCAAGATAACTAACATTTACTGGATTTTGTATAGTATGTGCGACAAAATGACTTCACTGATGGATCTACTGAACAYCAAAAAGATGAAACAAAGAATGATGTTATCCGTCCTTCTTTGAACGATACCACAAAAGTACACAAAAATTCTGGCTATTCCAGTTGCTGCACAGGATAACACAAACACAAATTAAATAAGTTATTTCATCATATAATTAATCTATGAAATACCGATATTTCTCCATTTCATAAAGTTGATATTTTCACTARTTATTGGGTTAAATCTCTATATAGTGGAAGTAAGAAAAAAGGTATTTTACAACATAATTTGCTTTCATTGATAATTATATGATAAACAGAATATTACATGGTCGCTTGGAGATACAAATTTTATCTTCTCCTGTTAAAAATCTTTTCAACACTCAAAGATAAAATCCATATCTCCGTGCGCCCATGTAATATCCTCTATTTATCGTTACAATATGTAAAGCATGATTTCATCACTGTTGTARTTTATGTGAAGGTGTAGATCATATTTTGAATATATAAATTTGAGAAAATTTTGCAGAAAATATTTATTATATTGCATAACTGTTTGTTGATAGAGTRGGTTATCATCATGAAAAAGGATTTTTTAAAGCAATTTACATTGTGACTTTGATGCTCTGAGAACTACTKGCAGAGCTTGTCATAAATATTCGTAGAAACAAAGATTATRGAMTTATGGACAGAAAAGAAAGACKTGTACCTAGAKACAAGGGTTTCTGCATTAACTAGAGGACAGTGTAACTCTCAAATMATTTGGTTTTAAAATTTGCAAAGAATATAGACTATACTTTAGGCTGTGGGAAAACTCCTCCGTCCCTAAGTCACATGAAACTTGAGAACAAGAAAAACCTAAATGAACTTTGAAGYTGCAAAACAACAGTTTTTGTTGTAATTTTGTTAAAATTGTACTCACTAATATGTTAAACAAGATAGTGTTGGAATATTTTAGCATCTTTTTGTGTACTATTATTTATATGTTTTATGGATTAACTGCTTGCAATAATTATATATACATTTTAAGAATGACCTTTGKTCTGTAGATATAACCAATTTATAATCATTAGTTCTATAAATTTTCMAATTAATAATATTTTATTAAACCATTTTCACTATGTAAATGAGTATAAGACAAAATATATATGTACATGTATCAAAAAAGTAATAAATAGAACAATTAAACTTAATAAGCATATTGTATTCAAAGTMAAATGAGAGAGCATAGAGAGTGGATGGAGGGAAGTGGAAGCTATATCCCATGCACTTTTTTCCTTTCTTTCTATTATTCTCCTATGTTTTATGAAGGTCCTACCCCTTCCAGCACTCCCCCTTCTACCCCCTCCCTCTTCCAAAAAACCATTTGTAAAGTAAACAGTAGACTACGAAGACATTACAAAGTGATAGAGTGGTTGCTTCAGCTTTTACAAGTCACCAGACACAAATATGATAGGTGAATGAAGGTATTACTGGTAACAGTCAACTCAAATGAAAAGAATTTACTAGACAACCTCTATATAAAGTATGTCTGCTTGGTCTTTTAGCCTTCTTAAATTGCATGTACAATATAATGGACAATATKCACATTTTGGATAATTTCAACAAGGAATGAACATTTTCCATTGTAGTTTTTTCTAGGCTTAGGTACTTTGTTGATAAAGAGGAGAACTTAAGTAGACTACCTATTGGAATTAATCTGATTACCACATGTTGCTCTCATCTTCTTTTCCTGGTTTCATTTTCCACTCCCTTCTCTTTCATYTCTTCTATTTGCATTACATATCTTTCCCTGATGTAACGRAAKGCTTGTGCATTGGCATATGGCAGACCAGTAAGCGGATCACGATATCTTGCTGGTAGTCCAGTCACAGGGCAATATCTCCGCTGGGGTTGCTTCACCTTCTTTACTGGGAAGAAAGACTCAGGGAAGTTTTTGGCATCAGTGAAAATTAAGAAATTTCTACTGCAACGCTTTGATGAATCAGCAGGCTTTGAATCCTCTTCATCTTTTTCACTTTCATCGACTTTTACAATAGGTTCTTGCACAACTGGCATTGATAATGAACAGTAGCGTATGATAGGGCCTTTGTAAGTAACTTTTTGGATTTTAGTTTTCTTTCTGTCAGCTTCAAGTCTTTGATAAGCGGCTAAGGAAGCCAAGTTTTGTTCTTCAGTTATCTTTGCTTCTGCAAGCAACTCCTCTTGTGTGAGTCGTCGCATTCCAGGTGGAGCTTTCGACTTGGGTTGACTCTGCTTACTCCGTTTCTCTTTTTCCTGATGTTGTCTTTGTTTCAACTCTTCAGCTTTGGAGACAGTCAAAGTTCKTGTCGATTTTCTCAACCCTTCTCTGGGAGTCCTCTCTCTTGGCTTGGGGRTCGACTTTTGTTTGGTATTAGGTGGCGCGGCTTTTGGCTCGCGATAAGGTTTTACAAAAACCTTTTTCTTTTTACGTTTTGGTTCATCTTCTTCTTGTTCAATGACCTCGTCAGTCTCGGAGTTGCTGAAATCCGAGTCAACGATATCTACATCTTCCTCGTCATCTTTYTCAAACTCATCATCTCCTGACTCCTCTTCAAAGCCTCCAAAAGCTGTCTTGTAAAAKTCATCAACTCCTTGTTCGTCGTCGATAAGTTTTGACATGCGGTTGCCGGCATTTCGRCGTTGAGGGCGACTCTTTGCAAGACTCTCTTCGTCCGCCATCTTGAAARGRTATTTGATGAGTAACACAGGAAGCCCAAATTATTTGCATTTGCTTGATGGTTATTTGTTTTCTATTCATTTTACCAAGTGAATAAAGTATAATTTTACGGTAATTCTCTGGATATTGTTGAAAATCATATCTTATTTTCATTTTTTTTTTTTCGTTTTTTTCAGTGCTGAATCGTGCAGAATGATTTTCTTTGGGCTTCCTTTGGTGAAAGTTCGYATGTGTCATCGCTGACCAGTAGATACTGGAATGACTCAGTGAAAAAAATTCAATATGGCGTCGCCGAACTTTTCTTTTCATCCAGGTTTTCCTCAGCCATTGTGGACAAATGGACCCACTCCTGGTGCACATTATAACTTTCCTGGTGGAAAAAGTAAMGCTGAGACAGGRCCAGCTAARAGAACTCTGTAAGTTTATATTGACGATGTTTTTTTTTTGATATTTTTAGATTTTCCCAGTTCAGCTTAGACAGCTCAAGACTTACAGTGTATTATGAATGTGGTACTATTTTACTGTAACTGAACCTATGAAATGTGTTAAAACGTTATTTATTCTTAGCTGTTTTGTAAAAAATCTGATAAATCTTATATTTTTGTTTGATTAAGGGAGAAATCTCTTGATTGGTCTGACATGTGCTTAGACATTACACAAAACTCAAATATGAAACGTATTTGAAATATTAAGTTAATTTCAATGATGTATCCCGGGCTTTAAACCTTATGTTAAAATTGAATTTCAACTTGTTATCATTCTTTGATCTTTCAATTCTTTAGTGTGGAAAGATATTTTAATTAATATGAATATAATATTATTCCTTTTCTAGCTATCCTACAACTACAGGAACCTCAGTTCTTGGTATAAAGTTTAATGGTGGTGTAGTAATGGCTGCTGACACATTAGGTGCGATTTTAACATGTGTACTCGAATAGTAAAAAGATACCCTTATACACCCTTTTAATAAGTCCCGAGGTTTTGTGTTCTCCGCACTTGACGTCAAATTTATTCTTTTGAAATTTTTACAATACAAAAGGAATTCAAAAGCATAAATTTGACGTCAAGTGCGGAGAACACAAAACCTCGGGACTTATTAAAAGGGTGTATACTACCCCTTATATTGTAGCGAGAGTACCTCCATTCATTTCCCTGATACCCATCTGTTTTATACAGCACAAATTGTAGTGCAGAGAAATAAAAATTCATATCATCTGATATTATCAGGTTCCTATGGCTCACTGGCTCGATATCGTGCTGTCTCGCGTCTCATGAAAGTCAATGACAATACTGTTATTGGGGCTTCTGGTGACTACGCAGATTTCCAGTACCTCCAAGCTGTGCTTGAACAAAAAATGTTAGTAGATGTGCCAAGAATACACAATATAGCAAATATCATGTTACATAGACTGTCTGACAGTACAGTTTTCATAACTTTTCTTTGTCTTTTAGTATTGATGATGCTTGTCTTGACGATGGACATGGTTACACTCCACAATCAATCTTTTCCTGGCTGACGAGAATCATGTATTACAGGTTGGAAACCTACAAACTTGTGGACATTTTTATTTGCAAATGTTTGTTTTTCTTTTTTGAATTTATGATATTGTATTGTCGAAACTGCATGTATAATTTCCATCTGACTTCTTGTAGGAGAACTAGGTTCAACCCTCTCTGGAACCAAGTTATAGTAGGTGGTTTCTACAAGGGAGAAAGGTATGGTTTGGGCTGTTTTGCCACTTCCTTACATGGCTTTCTTTCACAATCTTACCTTTTACAACAGGTGCAAAATAATATGCATTTACAACTTTTTTTGGAGTGTGAAACTTCTAACAAAAATGTAGTGCAAATCACATGATCTCCGTTTACCATTGAAACATCAGCTTCAGCTTTTCTCTAGTCTCCTTTTTAGCTCAGCCGTGGGCAGGAAGCCCAACAGAAGGGTAGGCTGTGCAGGAGACTAGCTTTTCTCTTGTGGTAGTTTAATATGCCTGGTTGTTTTTTCTGTTTTAGTTTTCTTGGCTTTGTGGACAAGATAGGAATTGCATATCAGTCTGACACAGTTGCTAGTGGATTTGGGGCTTATTTGGCACAAGTAAGTCTGTATGCCAGTCTGCTTCTTAAGCTGCTTGGATAAAAGATGAATTTTTAAATGCGTTAAAGTGCACATGACACCTTTTTTTAAAAAAAACTTTTAACTGAAAGGTAACACGCTGCCAAGTATTTCTGTGAAGAAAGAAATAGATTTTGAATTGTATTTTCTGAGTTATAGACATTTGAAAATTGAAAAATGCAAATGAAGTGACATCATCAACTAAGGAATTGATCCAGACTTTTTACATTGTTTGCGCTATGCTGTTCTTGGTTGAAGAGCTCAAATCATCAATCATAGTAATAATTGAGAGCTGAAAATGCTTTTTCCAGTGTAACAAAAAGAATAACGTCCTCTTTCATGATTTTGTATATGAAATCATTTCTTAGTAGACGTCACTTCATTTGCATTTTCTAAGTTTCAATTGCCCATAACTTAGAGAATACAATTTAAAATCAATTTCTTTCTTCACAGATGTACTTAACAGAATTTTCTCTTTTGGATGAGAATCAATTTCTAATGGTGTCATATGCACTTTAATAGATAAATGAGAATATGGATGAATGAATGATTAAGTGAATGGAATATAGATGATTAATCATGTTTTTTTCCAATCCCAGCCTATCCTACGTGATGCTTTTGAAAAAAATCCAAACATGACTCAAGAGCAAGCCAAAAATGTTGTTATTAAATGCTTAAAAGTTTTGTTCTATAGAGATGCCAGGTCACTSAACAAGGTACAGAGTGTAATATTCAAATACTCTTATAATGTAGACCGAAGGCTCACATGACTGTAATATTCAAATTCTCTGATAATATAGTTTGAAATTGCTGTAATCACCAAAGATGGTACTATGATTGATGAACCAAAGTCAGCWGACACTAACTGGAGTATAGCACCCATGGTTAAGTGAGTACCCTCTGCTATTAAATTAAGTATGAAGTAAAACACTTATAATTCTGTTTGTTTACATTGCAGGGGGTATGAATAAGTGGATGTGAAGTATTTATGCCATGAAATGTTTTTTTGTGTAGTTCATCGCTGTTGTAACATACAAGTTCAAATAAAACACATAAAGTTTACTTTTGAATTTATCTTTAATTTGAGTACTCTGTGGATCTTTTACTACAGGAAGCCATGCATTTCTTTGGTTGTTTTTTTTACTCACCCTACCCCACACTGTAGTTATTTGCACATGATATCAAAGTTGTTTGATTGAGGTTTTGTTGTCTATGTCCATAATAATGATTATTTTATAAACTTCTTTATAAATTATTTCGTTATTACCATGTATTCTATTTATTTTTAGATCACTTTATGTGATTTGCTGATAATCTGCTTCTTTTCACTGCTTCGTTGACCAGAAGTATAAATCGTTGTTTATGATCAAGCGTTCTAGAACCATATCCATATTTCCATTGTATATGATTAAGTGTTCTTGAACAGGATCTTAGCGTCGGCGTTTGCTCATTCAGAAAAACCATAATGGAATAAGCACAATTTACATCCCTTAATTTGAAGTGAAGAGAAGTGAATGGAAGAACCGAGAGCAAAATGAGTAATATAAGTGTGTTATTATTCAAATTGTAGATATTTCCCTAGGTATGATATATAAACACAAATTTCCAATTTTTTATTGACGTACGTGTCATAAATTGAGATGGATAGCGTCGAACGCTCCTTTTTTCCAGTTCAGTTCACAAYGTACAAAGTTTAACTTTCCCTGGTTTTATGGTATTGAAGGAAATACCTCTGGATGGCGCAAAAACAAAGCATTTTTGTCGTTTATAATATAAATCACAACATTGAGCAAATTAACGGAAATTTTAATTTCATGTACAAAATTCTGTATATTTATGGAATGAAGATAATCTTTATATTGAATGCATAAGGAATTTTATAGTTTTTCCATCTTATTTTAAAATATAGATAATTCATTTATTATTTCTATTAAAATCTTTTATTGCACACACACAAAAAAAGAACATAACTTGTTTAGTTCAAAGTTTGGTGTTTTCCGGTTGCCTGAGTTTGCGAGCGTCTACACATCAGCGTCCCCTAAACAAAAACCCTAACTACTTTCTTTTCAATAGACAGTCTTGAGTAAAGAATAAAATACATATTTGATATCTTTTAATAAGATTTTGAATTTCTTGAAAAAGGAAAATCATTCTTTTCAAGTCTTTCACAATAAGAGAATTTTGGATTCCAGAATTTGGAGGAATCTTTTCGCGTCTTTATTAACATAATAGTTCACTTCATTAACCAATTACAATTATTTAACACCGTTCAATAGTTTTCTACGCTTCGCRTATTGAGCATATGCAGTTTTTRCTAGCGATGATGAACTTGTTCAAAAGATAAACATAAACAAATGAGATTATAGACGCGAAGGAAGCTAGAATGTAGGAGTGCCTGACTCGTTGAGATTGCTGTCTTGCAGAGCGGAGAACCGAAGTGAGTGAGCAGCTGTACTGCTTTTCAGAGAAAGCCATGTTTTTCGTGTTTCCATCGTCTTCCCTCTAGAAACGTGACAAACAGTGTACGTTATGTACATCTTATTTTAGGAGAAGGAAGTATCAAAAAGGCCAAGTGAGTATTTTTCCTTTCAGTATTAATTAAACCCAGTTCATGTACTCAAATCAATCTGTCGTGTTAGAGTAAAACTTCAAACTTTTTTCTGGCGTTTCTTGGTCATGCATGATTATGTTAGTAAAAACGCGCAAAAAAAACCAGTAAATTTTGCTAAATTTCAATATGAGTAAGTAATGCTGAATTTGCGCATGTATAGGGAACAATTATAATTCCATGACTTWAACCATCATTATAATCCGACATTAATGTGCTTTTTTCATCCCGATTAAAATATTTTTTATCATTTTAACTCTTTTATTAATCTTGATGATTGCTATAAAGATTGTGCTTGTTTATTGTAAACTTTTCTTTGCAAGTTTATAGGGAATTTTATGCGTTATTAAGCTACATTACTGCATATTCTGTGTGAAAAGCATATTCGAAATTACACGGCATTTTTTGGCGCACATTTTAATTTCGACACTCGTATGTGTAGTCGGATGTGGCAGCGGCGCGTTTTCACAAATGCATAGCTGGGACTTCTGAAATAAAGCGAAATCAACATTGAATAATTGTTGAGCCTGGTTCGAGGCTAAAAATGTTATCTTTAACTAGAATGTGTATAGATACCTTTAATCTATACTAAAACCTTTYCGCTAAAATCGCACTCTAGCTAATATCAATTAACCAATCAAAGTCATTAAAAAAATGCATTTTTGACTCGTGGTGCAAAATATCTTCAAGGATTGTTCAGTTCTCTTGGAGAAACATCTTCGTCCTTCAGAATATTCCGGGCAAAGAGTACCGAGTCTTCAGTCAAATTGAATAAATTATGATTTATCAACACGCGCGTTTTRTTGGTCGACTGAACATTTAGTTATAATTGTATTCAAGAATCATACCTTTCGATGCATAACACGAAAAAAGTGATTTTGGGTGGACATTTTACTCAGCCAAAGCCGTATTTGTAATATTGATATCGGAATTTATTATTTTTATTATTGATAACATATAGCGAGCAGAAAGGAATAGATACGCCTGTCGACGCTATGCTTCAAAGTTATTGTGCCACACTTCTTTACCTCCGACAGAAAACAATGCTTTTTTAGAATGATGATTTTGTAACGCTTCTTACATTGGCAAAGCATTTCGGTTGGAACCGTAATATCATGAATGCATTTCAGTATTCTCAACGCTTTTTGAAATTGTTGTATTCATTATTTAAGAACTGTGCCACCGATCGAGGAGAWAATTTCTTCCAAAAATCCATGAAATTAAAGTAGGCGGCCGTAACCGATTTGTCTTTCAATAAAATAAAAAAAAACGTGTTTTTTTTCGCGTGCATTTTTTTTTTGAGAATTTCTTTCCACAAAAAATCCATAAAAAAATGCCAAGGTTTGCCGCTCATTCTTCTTCTGTTTAATTCTCTAGTTATTATTATTAAAAAAAAGCATGCAGTAAAAATATATTATTCCTTAATTTGAATAAAATACCCTAGATTTGACAATAAAGCATTAAAACCGAAGCTCAAATTGGACCATTGTCATCAAAAATAAGAAAATGATCTCAAAAACTTTAAAACAATGCCTGTTCTTAACAGCAAATTATTTGATATCGCCTTCTTAACTCGRATCGTGCGTTGCCCTGTTGACGCACTTTGGTCGGTAGGACCGGGAGGGGGCAAATTGTTCATTTTAATCTAGTTATAGTCGCGATCTAATTATTCGTATTTTTATTATCTAGTTCCGCCAGGTGGAAGCTGACTCTTTGGAACAATTCACAGTAAAGTAGAATAATTCATTCTTGGCGTCATTCTTGAACGACCGGCAGTTGATTATATAGTCCTTTTTTGAGTGCCGTAATTCTGTATAATACAAAACCAAAAGTAGCCCATTCATTCAAGGAATCTATCTGGTAATTTATACCCAAAAGAGACGCTTTTAAAAGAACATTTAACGATAACGCGGCGTTGTGGTTTTGAAGCTAAAAGAGACACACAGCGAATTATCTGCGGCTAGTTCTTGTGCTTGATGTCACAGCTTACACGATCCTCAAAAGCGACGGACGCCCGTGAAACTGAAAAAACCTAGAAGAAACTCGCTGTTCTATAAGGTAAAAAGACAGATCCAAGTTCCGGGATATAACTGTACTTTTGATCTTCTTCAAAAGTGGGGATCATTTTACTGCCTTAAGCTTGAATCGTGTCWCATTTTGGTTAATTCGACTGATGAAAATTAATTATTTTACTTTAAAACAAGTGAACTTCGTCAGTCATCATGTCGTGAAACGTTTTTTTTTTCTTTCTGTTTGAGCAACAAGTGTTTTAATTTTGACTACTATAGCTAAAAGATTTTAGAATTAAATATTTTTTTTATAGAGCACGAAGAGGCAGGCGTGGAGATAAGGGAAAATTTGCGTTTTGTTCAAGATCTCGATAAAGACAGATGTGAATCTAATGACTACAGCACATGTATAAGAAACAAGCCGGCCGAAACCATGACAGAAATGGCAAACAGAATGCTACGACGCAAGTCGCAAGGAACGTGGTTTGTAGAAGGACCACTGGAACGCTGTATGAATGTCTTTGATCTGACTGTACTTGGCCTTGGCGGTCTTATAGACGCGGGAGTCTACGTTGTTATCGGGCAGCTTGCGCTTACGTTAGCAGGGCCTGCTGTTATCATATCTTTCCTTATAGCAGCCGTTGCAGCAGCRTTTTCYGCTCTATGTTACGCCGAATTGTCATCGCGTATAACCAAAACAGGTTCCGCGTATGTGTTTACGTACGTAATCCTAGGTGAAATATGGGCATTTTTGACCGGTTGGGCCATGGTCGCGGAATATCTTGTAAACGCGGCGTCTATGGCAAGAGCTTTTACTGGCTACATTAATTCGTTCACCGGAGACGCAATGTACATCGTGCTACGAGATAAGCTCGGCTGGGGCGACACAGGCTTATTTGGAAGTTTCCCCAACTTACCAGCTCTTGGTCTTGTCATCTTGTCGGCGATTATCGTTGGTATTGGTGTGCGYGAATCGAAGACKTTCATGGACGCAATTAYGTCAATCAACATCGCSGCCCTCCTTTCAGCCTTGGTAGCAGGRATTATACTTTCAAACCCTGACAACTGGTCAAGCTTGGAGAAGTTTGCACCCCATGGATGGTCTGGTATCTTATTAGCAGCGCCTGGATGTTTCTATTGTCTGTCGGGTTTTGACGCCGTACCCACAGCCAGTGAAGARGCCCTTGACCCTCGCAGTGATGTACCCAAAGGGATAATGCTTTCACTTGGTATAGCAACCTTAGCTTACATTGGTATTATTACAGTCATGACTCTTATGGTTCCYTACACGCAGCTCTCATATTACGCACCAGTTGCGGAGGCTTTTTGGTCACGTGGATTCACCCCTGGTTACTATATCGTGTCAGTAGGTGCWTTATGTGCTATGTTTGGGAGTCTCCTAGCAACACTCTACGCTGTGACGCGATTGTTTTACTCCATCGCGTATGATGGGTTGATATCTACATGTATCGCWAAAGTAGGCGAGAATCGCCATGTACCYACAAGATCCGTCATATGCACAGGTATCTTGACAGGTCTGCTGGCTTTGTGCATTGAGATAAGTATGCTTRTCGAGTTGGTATCAGTGGCAACTATTACTACGTACACCATGGTCTCCCTGTGCGTKATCCTCTCTCGCTACCAGACCGATATCTCAAGCGTATTTCTAGATGGATACATCCACTCTCCGTCTGGTGTTACGGAYTGGCTGCAAAATAAATTCTTCCYCATACGTAAAGAAAAGAAAAGGGGAAAATCCAGAGCCTGGAAGAACTACCAAAAACTAGCTGAAAAAGACGAGCAACTGAGCGTTGGAAATCCACCCACTAAGTTAACTCCAGAAACTCAATTCTTTGCGATGATYGCTCTAGTTTTGATTATTCTTAGTTTATTCGGGTTTTGGACGTGCTTAGATATTCTTATTCAGAATCATGAAAACATAGATCCTGTGACAGTGTCGTTGACAAGTRTTTATGGTACTGTGGTGTTCATTGCAGTGGTCTATCTCTTTCAACTTCCAAGGAATAATGTYAARTTTCCATTCATGATTCCCTTGGTGGTTCCYGTGTTCAGTATTGTGATCAACACGTTTATTCTGGTCAGAATCAATTGGTTGTCCTATCTGATGTTCTGTACTTGGATTGCAATAGGTACGTGTTCCCTGAGTGAGTGAGTGAGTGAGTGAGTGAGTGAGTGAGCGAGTGAGCATGAGTCAGTCAGTCAGTCAGCCAGTTACCGCAACCTAACATCTGGTAGAGCATCGGTAGTACAAATCCGAAGGTCGTGGGTTCGAATCCCAGCGAGGTCGGAAATTAATTTTTCCGAATGTATTCCTGAGGGTCTTTCTCCCGGAATTGCCTCCTTCTAAGCACTATAACTTTCTTTCATTTCTATATCGAGTCAGCAAGTTAGTTCGTCAGTCAGTCAGTAGTTTCAATGTATAATCAAATAACCATCATGACTTATTTTTCAGGTATGATAATCTATTTATCGTACAGCTTTTCGCACAGCACCGAGTCTCACTCACAAGAAGAAACATTGATGGACTTTGCTGTCATCCCAATAGCACTCCCYACGGGAACTGAGGTGATAAGCCCGATTCAACGAAACCTAKCGCAAAAGAATCCTTTGGCGTTTGATGATTACGACCCGGACGAATGGGAAGAATATTAAAAACACTATCGTGCTTTGCGTCTACTGTACGTTATTGGYAACCAGCGCTGGCAAGCAGGATTGGATTGCTTTTGGTCTGTTCTGCTTTTGTGTCTCCTAATTGCATGACGTAAAGTGTGGACAGTGAACAAGTACTGGGACTGCGCAATAATTATCAGGAGGGAGTAGGGGTGAGAATCCAGTGGGGGGGGGGRGGGGGGTTATCAAATATGTGCTTAAAGAGGGGAGGGGGGCAACGTCTAAAATTTACTAGAACTTTAATAGGAAACTGAAAAATCGACGGTATCAGATTCTGTGCTTTTTGGCCAAATACTTTTGAAGTGAAAAACTTCACAAGAAAATCGTTCTGGGCGGATTTGCTACAACTCTTTATTCTCGAATAATAAATAAATAAATTCACAAAAAAAAAGAAATAATTTATTTCGTTCGTGAGGGGGGAGGGGTTAGTAATTAACTTTTTTTGATTTTTTGGCTCATTTCTCAACCTCCCCCCTGATAATTAATATTGCGCACGGTCGTCCCTTAAATCATTTGCACAGTATTTAATTGGATCAAGATTGATCAAATGAATTAATAATGATAAGCGAATTAGCCTGGTGGGTAATCACAAAAGAATTCTGCTGGGCTTCTCAACGGGGCAGTCTTGAGTCGAGGCGCACATAGTCTGCGTAACAAGGCGTTCCTAGCGATTTCTACTGCCCAAACTTCCTCGGAACGGCTAGGAACGCCTAGCTACACAGGATAGTGAGTGTGTAAACGTAAAATAGAGTGGATTTCGTATGATTTGGAAACGGACGGTACTGTACTGTAACCGTAATTGTACTGTAACCAAATTCTAGTGTCTCATTGCTTCACAAAAATTGTGCAGGCCAGGTCCGGTAACTGTGCGGTAACCGTGCGGTAGAGCGGATTTCGTATGAGTGGGAAACGGACGGTACTGTACTGTAACCGTAATCGTACTGTAACCAAATTCTAGTGCCCCATTGTTTCACCAAAATTCTGCAGGCCAGGTGCGGTAACTGTGCGGTAACCGTGCGGTAACGGTGTCCCACTCATACGAAATCCGCTCTAATTTTCTACCGTACGTTTCCCACTCATACGAAATTGACTCTAACTGGAGTTTAATGAAATTTTGTTGGATAAAAGCAATACATTAAGGAAGCAAATAATAACTAATAAAATTAGATTAAATTGTACTGTAATTGAATTATTGAAATTGAATATTATTTTGATAATAAAAATATTTTGGAAGACATCTTAGCATTCCAATGTGGATTTCATCATTTTTTGATTAAAAAACAAGCAATAATGATTCAATGATTCACTCTCAAATATATATAGTGCATCACACATTTCGTTTGGGATCCCTGTGCTTTTGGGATTCCTTTCTTGCTAAAGGCCTGGTTKCTAAGGAATTCCAACATGGCGGACGTACCTCATTTGTTCGTTGTCTGCAATATCTGGAGGTTTTAGTCATTTTATAKCCCTAAAAACTGGACAAATAAAACCAAAAAWGCTCAAGCGTATAGCGCTTCAAGAAAAAAAGGTAAGATTAAACCAAATGTTGGCGTAAAAATTATCGAATATGGAAGGCATATCACAAAATGTAGYGCTAAAAAATGTTTGGGTGCCATTATGGACCATTAATTCAATTGTTGTTCTATTCAATACTAATTAAAGCTATTTAGATGAGAAAATTGAGGAAATTCTTCATAGATTTAAAAAAGAATTTAAAATGACCTGATGTATTTTGGCTAGATATTGAATTTTCCACTTTCGCGTCATTTGCTTTGCGGAATTTTTCAACTGACTCCATTAAGCGTCGTATAACCCCGGGGCCCGGGCGAATAACTTAACATGATAAGCTTAAACGCCCGGTATGTTATATAAGCTTCAAGGCAACTTGCACAAGGCAATTCATCAAAGCGCTATTGATAACCTCGCTGCATTGTTTATAAGATCACTATCGATTGGTTGTTTTGATGGACATCAATGTATCTCTAGCTAGATGGGTTCCCTGTGTTGATAAGTTTCTTTGCATCTCTTYGAAGTTRGGTTACCTGTGTAAATGGGTTTTTGCTGTTGAGCTAAAACTCATCTAACAGGTTGACTTCGGCTCCATCACATGATTAACGTTTGTTCTCAGTTCTGAGGTGATTTAACTGTTGTGATATGAAAAATAGATTCCTTTTCCAACGACTGTTGTTTTCATCGCCGCATGGCATGACGGATAAGCAACGTTACCGACMGTCCATAGTACAGTCGGTGCTCATTGGTTTTAATCTAACCAGTGTCTTAAACACTTCCATGGTATAAAAAGAATCATTCCCAGCGTTGTTCAACACCTGAGAAGCGTCCATACTGTCAATGCTACAGCCGTCAATCGATATACCAAAATCATGCATTATTTTACACAAATCTCTTTGCGCATGCTCACCAACAAATGGACACACCGCTGTGTGTAGTAGCTTCGTATCAATGACTTCGACTTCGCGGAGATTTATCCCTCGTTGGTGAAGATACTCAACTAAATTACAAGCGGCGTGGGCAGCTATGTATTCAGCGCGACCTACGATATCTTCTACGACCTTCTTKGCGTCTCGTATCGTAATTTCCTCGGTGATCCCGAAACGGAATTTGTCTCGGTTATCGGGCATGAGTTGTTCATTTTTGAGGTGTTTGTTATCAATGATGACGTAGTGCTTGCACGTGAGAATTTGGCATTCCTCTTTTTCCAGAGAATCCATACGGAAAAGTGTATAACCAATTTCCAGGATTTCTTTGGGATTGTTTTCAAATACTTCCAGATCCATTGCTAGTATGACGCACGGCTTTTCTGAAAGGTTCTTGCGAATTTGATCCAAAAGTCGAATTCCTCTGACATTTCTCTGGAAGAGGATCTCTTCGTTCTTTCTTCTCAGGTTCTCCAAGCATCTGGTGAAATCGGTTTCGGACGCGAACATGTGTTTTCGGCACGGTAGTTTGCGTGACGACAGTCTCACTGGGGGAATATGTGGAAGAGTACCTCCAATAAAACGTTGTAATTTTGATTTKATTTTTAAGTACACCAAATAGTCAACAAAAAGCTTTGCTCTGTCGTTGCAGTCAAAACCCGTTACAAAGCAGACGTCTTTCAAGTGACGTTTGTAAACTCGTTTGAAGAACTTGACTGCATCGCTGCCTTCCTCKGCACTGTTCTCATTGCAAGTAGCTATCCAACTGTCCTTGATTTTACAAAAGTCGTAAAGACACTCGGGACGCTCGCTACATGGAAGACTAAAACTCAACGCCATTTCGTTATCACGCTCAAAGTTATCTTGGTAGGTTATTAACTTGAAGTCCAAAACGCGTTTCAGTTGGGCTTTGAGTCCAGAGAAAGCAGTCTTTGAATCATCGGAGCGACTTGACGAGTGTCGKGGACAAGCGCTTAAGTTAAGGTCTGAGAAGACTCTCTGGAAAATGAAATGAAAAATCACAAAATATTAATAACTTAAGCAGATGAAAATTCACACTTATTGCACGGGGCGCTTACGGTAGTAATAGCAAACAAAGAAAATTAATCATTKTTGATGRAGTGAATTTTTTAAAGTGAATTTTTGCTTTAAAAGTGAGTCAGTTTTTGATGTTATCTCAGTTGTTCGACATACATTGAAACTTTTTCTGACATTAATTTGAAAGAATATCTTTATATCTTGACCTATAAATTCTTTATCTGTAGCAGTTTTAATAACGTTTCAATCATTGTAACTAAACGAAGTTCGAGTGCCTTGATTAATATACTAATCTGCCAGCGTAGTGTTGTCCGGAATTTCGCAATGTGTTTGGACAACCCCCAGTTAATTTTTCTAAATCCACTTCACTTAAAACTATGAAATATAAAAATGAGAGAGATAAAAAAACGAAAAACAGTTACATTAAAACTGAACAAATAAAAATTGTATTCAATATTTGCAATTCAAAATGAATCTAGTTATATTATATTCTGGTATATRAACGTTTTGCACATAAATAAAAACTAACTGGACCAGTTTTACCGGTATTTTAGAAACTGTCTCTTATTCCAGTCCAGCTAGAACGTAGTCCAGCTCGGTTTAAATTCACTCTTAAAAAAGAAAACAACAAAAACAACCAAACAACAATAACGAAAAACTGTGYTTAGCWTAAAGAAAGCGGGATAGCGAAGGCTAGCCGTCACGTTGCTGAGCAGCAAAATGCCGCATTTCTTATGCTGATAGTATTATAATTTTGCTCCCTGCTGGACAAAGATCTTAGCTAGCTAGAAAACCAGCAGGATATCGCAATTATTTTTTCCTGAAAAATTGATTTTTTTATGATTTTTCTGTGAAAACGTGTTTCTTTTAGAATCGGTTCTTTTTTAATGGTTGCTACTAACTGACATGATAAATGATAACAGAATTCACGTAAATTTAAACGAACGACGTCACATTTCACTAAAATATGAAGAAAAAGTCTAGTCTTAGCATCACACGATCAATATCTATGTGTATAAGTCCCGACGACTGACTTGTAATTGCATTTTTTCAAGTCGATTCTTAGAAAAATCTATTTGCTTGATACTTCACAGCTCATCTTCGCCTTGACACTATAACTTGTTGGCTGAGAAAATTGAGTCGATTGCCACTCTCAGCCAAAAACTCATTAACAAAAMCCTGTGATGTTAGACTGTCGTGATGTTATTGAAATTGGGAGAGAATTAATTTCAGGCAGTGCCCAAAAGCTGTTAATTTTTTTAGTCAAGTTTAATCATTCATTTTGTTTTTGGGCCATAGATCGAGAGCATTGCATAAGCTCTTTTTTGCACGCCTGTGATTTTTCAATTTCTATACGAACCTTCGTTACAAGTTATTATTGAAGTTTTCTTGGCAAACAAGTTTTGCCAAAAATACAAAATGTCAAAACATTGTCGTAAATCGCAGACATTCAAAACAAGAGAGATGGACAAAAATGTCTTGCAAATTAATTTGAATTTTATGGGTTTGAAAATCGGCCTCCTGCGGATTGTAATATTTTTTTTTTGGTGGCCATGATTCTATTTTATAGACCTCTCGGAAATATCTATCTTGCTAGTTATGGACTGTAATTGAGAAGATAAAAGCCTCATTTTAAAACCACATACACTATGAATTTACTTAGAAATAATAATAATAAAACTAAATTCAAAGCTTACAAGAAGATTAAAATACCAGAAGACGAGCTAGTAATGTTTGAATATAGATTTTCTAGCCAGTTGTAGATAAATCGTGAAAAAATGTCAACATTATATGATCAGAGATTAAAGTTTTCGTTGGTGAATTAGTCTCTAATTACTCAAAGCAAACAACCAACCTTCCAGCTTAAACTTTCTGTTCGTATCTGAAAACTAATTGCACTAACCTTTTGAGAATGAATTCCCAGACACAGCTCGTAGAAAAGCGACTATTACGATTGTTTTGACAAGATAGATGTGTGAGAAGACGAGCAGTCGGCAGCCAAAATAACATGCACCCAATTTAAGCCATCAATTGTTCAGGTGCCCATTGTATCCCCGTTAAACTGAACTGTGATTGGATGAGAAGAGCCTTTTGGCGTTAATTCATTTACAAAACACATTTGCTGGATCTCAAAGGCTTAAAAGGTGAATCTAGAACCAATTTAAAAGTGTAACTTGTCTTCATTTTAGCCAACCATTATCGTCATCATTAGCATTCAAGAGACAAAAGCAGTGTATGGCGAAAAGAAGAGCTTTTCAAAAGAGCAGAATTTTAATTACAGAGGTGACTGTCTCCTCACGGTGCCCATATTTAATCCAAAGTCTTGTTTTGACAAAAGTGCTTACAAAACAATAGGACACAAAAGGGATGCTGGGGTTTTACTACAAGTCGCAAAATGACGCCAGCTTCCCTGAGGCTCAAAGCTACATGTATTATTTAGATAAAAAAAAAAAATGACTTGTTTGTTATAGAGCTCTCTCTCTTATTGGCTGTATATATTACTCGCTACAAACGCTCAATATTTATAATTATAATTGTGTTTTTCAGATTTATATATAATGATATTCATAATGATTTTATCAGTCATTGCTTTCTTCTTTGATAAACATAATCCATACACCTTATTCTGAATAACCAGTCGATTTGCTCTGAGTTTGACACTATAAGATACAAACACTTGTCTCTCGTAATGAGCTTTGCATATACAGCTACGTCTTTCCGCTCCAACTCAATACTATTTTTCTTYATTCTACGAAAATAGTCATTTCAACTCATATRAATAATTCTTACAKCCATAAWAAGGAATTTTTAMACTGATGTTTTTTTTCCTGACAAAAAAGCTATGTTAAAAACGACTAAATGTTCACTGTTAATACTTCTGCTTATGACTCAAAAAAACCCGATTTTACCATAGCACAAATGTGAATTTTATTGCTCAGTATTTTTATTTTATTTTTTGTTTTGTTTTTAATTTGCAATAATTAAATAATGATTGACAATTTACTGCTAAATATTCATTTTTCAATATATCATTTCAGAATTGTCATTTATAATTTAAAACGACATATTTTGTTTTTTATTTAAGTTATTTATCTTCACAAAACTCGATATCAAATGGAGAGAAAATTATGGTTTAACATATTCAGATAACACAGTAATTGCATGGCAAAATATTGTCTTTCTTTGGTTTCAAATCGATTTTGTCTTCAGTCGCACAAAACAGTCAGCGGCTAAACACACTAAAAAACAAAATGGTGAACAGAAAAGTCAACGTGAAACTACAAATGTCAAACAAAAGGCATGATACATGAATAAAGAAAATATATAGCACAGACCTAAAAAAACACTTCACGACGGATCCTGTAATCTTTTAAGATTAACATCAGATTTCACTCTGTATAAATCATTTTTGGATAAACATCTTTTTTCCTGTCTGTCTAGAGTGATAATTGGCAAAACATTCGTATAAATCTTCAGTTATATGGTTTTTCACCTGAAGTGAATAGATATCTTTTTAGTTATTTCAAAAGATGAGTGTTTTCAGTGATTTGTTACTGTCCCTATCATCGTATTTCCATTCCTGAACGCGAAAGTTAAGTATAGTAAGCACGAACTATTGCATGGTGTTTTCCCTGTAAGCTTCGTTCACTCGAGGAAAGCATTGTGAAGTTACTAGAACTACATACCTTTGTGTGATACACTGAAAACTGTCTTGTCACCTTCCTGCTGACACTTTATCATCGATAGCCGGTGATTTTACTGTTATGGCTGTCGATATGTGCYATTAACCTAGCTTTGATTGACATTTATTGAGCCATAATGGAGYATACGTTCGCTCAATACACAAACTAATGACCTAACCATCTAATGTTCGTTGTACACTGTAGAGGTGAACAAGTAATGACATGTGAAACTGTCTCACAATTCTTTGACAAGTTATATTGAGGGGTGTATTGTAAGTTGGTGGTTTGACGGTTTTTGCTGATTTAGAGGTCGGTTTTYGGTATTTTGTGGGTATAAGGCTGTGAAGGTATCGGTTGGGGAAAATCGACGATTTTGCAACGGCCTTTTATGTGCAGATTTTGGTATGAAATATTGCATTAAATAAGAATGATGAAGAGTGGCGTTGGTAGTTAATCAATATTTTTAACAACTGTTGTCAGAAA